AGAGAGAGAGAGAGAGAGAGAGAGAGAGAGAGAGAGAGAGAGAGAGAGAGAGAGAGAGAGAGAGAGAGAGAGAGAGAGAGAGAGCTATATAGAGAGAGAGAGAGCTATATATAGAGAGAGAGATCTATATAGGGACAGAGAGATAGAGAGAAAGAGAGAGAGAGAGCGCTAGAGAGAGAGAGAGAGAGAGAGAGAGAGAGACAAAGAGAGGCAGAGCCAAATAGAGAGAGACGGAGGGGGAGTGAGACAGAGAGAGATGAGAAAGGGAGATAGAATGAGAGAGAGAACGCACCTTTTCTTTCCTTGATTTACAACTGCTGATGGAAACAATGGCTTCGGCGACTTGGTTAATGATCTCAAACCGCAATACGACGGCGGGTGTCGCGACGCGCGAAAAGGGAGGTGCCGACGCATGAGAGGGCAAAACCGCAAATGGAGATGTGGGAGATTGCAACGCGAAGGAGATGGCGAGGCGAGGGATATGGCGACGAGTGAGAGAGAGAGAAGCGCGGCAAACGGCAGGGGAGACGGCGACGAGATGGCTGTGTCGCTGGCAAGGGCGGGTGGTCCGGGCGCGCGACGTTGCATTTTTGGCCGTGAGGGTTGGCGACACCTGCGATTGCCTGCTGCTTCGGATGATTGCAATGCCCACCTGCAAATTCGCGGAATGGCGCCACCGTCATTCAAATGGCGGATACATCCGCGCGGAGCCCAAGAAACGAAAGTGGGCGGGAAAAGTCACGCCGAATGACGCATTGGAACCGTCATTCAAATGGCGGATATCACTGTAAAATCCGCGCGGGCCCCGATAATCAAAAGCGGGCGGGAAAATTTGCGCCAGATGATGCGCTGGAACCGTTGATGGCACGGTGAAAAAAGGCCAGGCTTCCCGCAACGGTTTCGGACCATGCGATTTCGTAAGGACGGTCCGTCAAAAAAGGGACCGCCTAATGTCACAGCCCCCGACGCAGTCCCTGCGGCGGGCAGCTGAAGGGCCCCTCAAGCCCCACTCACTGCACTCTCCGTTCTCCTGTCGGGCACCAAACGAATGGGGGTGGCTGTCACAGCCGTTCGCTGGTGTCATTTCTTCCGTGTGCTGCCTTTGCGACGCGTCCGCCATCGTTCGAAGTCGCCTGCATCATATCGCAGGCCCCTTGCGCATCCAGGCCCTCGTTCTTCCAGCAATCGTCGATAGCGGGGGGCGCTAACGAAAACGTCACGCGACTGTAGACCTTGCGCGTCATCCCATTCGCGCTGTTCTCTTCTTGTGTTGGCTGGAGGCGTTTGTTGACTCGCAGGTCAGTAAGAAGCCCACGCCCCCTGCTCGACCCCTTCACCATTTCAAGCCCCCACCTCTTCCCATTGCCCTTCCGCTCCTTCGACCGTGCAAGTCTTGTTCTCTGCCACCACCTGCTCCGCCAANACCCCTTCACCATTTCAAGCCCCCACCTCTTCCCATTGCCCTTCCGCTCCTTCGACCGTGCAAGTCTTGTTCTCTGCCACCACCTGCTCCGCCAATCACGCGCACACGATCTTGAGCGCACGATGCTCACAACGACGGAAAACCCCATGCAGTGACACACGCTGACGTCATCATCTTGCACATGACGTCAGCGACGGGCAATGGCTTGCGGCTTTCACAGTCGTCGGCCTCGAGTCTTGGCGTCCTCAACATCGCTTGTTTGCGTCCTCAACATCGCTTGTTGGCGTCCTCACCATCGCTTGTTGGCGTCCTCAACATCGCCCTCTACTCTTGGCGCCCTCCATCGACCGGATCTGATGTGTGGAGAAAGTCGCATCGCCCTCGAGTCTTGTCGTCCTCGACATTGCTTGTTGGTACACTTTCGTGGACCCTGGCTCGCGGGTCGTCCTCCCCCAGTCTACTAAGGATATCGCAATGCAGTCGGTTGTGCGATTAGTCTTCAACATCACAGCCTGCTCCGTCTATCACGCACGAGTCGACATGCGCGCGATCTCCAGTCCACGATGTCCGCAACTCACAACCACGAAAGTTCCCTTCCACTGGAATTCGAAATGGCCTGCGGCTTTCGCAGTCAAGATCGTCGGACGCCTCCGACGACCGCATCTGACGCGTGGACGAAGTTTCATCGCCGTTGCTCTCTGGCGTCCTCAAAATCGCGGTATGTGATCACCGCTGCGATAACACATCACGCGATAGACGTCAACACCGGAGACGTCATCTGAATAACGCGTGTCGATCGACTTGAATCCCGTCCATCCATCTCCGGTGTTGACGTCTATCGGACGATCTGTTATCGCAACGCTGATAGCTGGAAGCCTCACGACAAACGCGCACCTCCAACAGGAATCACCCGTGTCTCACTCACAGCCAACAGTGGCGAAGCCACCCGTCCACAACGTTCAACGACGACCCGTTGCGCACAAAGGATACCCATGGCGAATCCGAAACATCCCAGATTACCGCCGATCCCGCGACATCCCACTGCCAAGTGCCAACTTCGAACTCATTTCCGATTGACTCGGTGATTGAACATGTCTATCGCGGTTGTGGACGATATCAGAATCTTTTTCTTGTTGTCTTGAACGTTCTCTGTCTCATCGCCTGTTCTCGCACACGCAGCTAGCAATGAGGATCCGCCACGCAACCGGGCGAGAGACGCCGGACACGCATCGGCAACATTCTGGATATGGAACTAGCGGTTACAAGTTCCATCACGCCCACAGGAAAACTTCACAGCACCGCCGCCCGTGCGGCAGCCCGTCACCTCGCCACGATTCGTTTTGGGCGAACTCTGACGTGGACAATCCTCGCGACGATTGCAGTCTCGAAATCTGAGTTGAATGAACGCACAATGACCTCGTGGAACGATCAGCTCTCGATCCACGCCGATCAYATTTCGATTCCAATTAATCGCAGCCTCGTTTTCCAGAGCAGCTTAGGGAGGCGTGCGCGGGATTGCAGCGGGAGTGAGAGAGTGCTGTTCGTGCCACTTGTTCCGGATGGAGTTCGGATTCATCCAAGCTCGGGATGAAGGCAATAGTAGATGTCAGTTGCGATGCCAGTGGTTGGATGAATATGCCCCCCTTACATCCGACCCATTGTTTTCACGCAACGTTCCCCCATCGAGAGTTTTGAGGCGACCCCCTGTCCATGACAACCCGCCACTCATGACTTCCGTCGTTGTTCTTTGTCTCCCACGAGGGGTCATGCAATTCTCAGGCTGGACGTTTTTTGTTTCGCCTCACTACGGAACGTGTGATGTTGTTCGGATGAATCCGAACCACAACCCTCGGCTCGTGGGAAGTCTCAACGGGAACCGCATTCCTCCGATGTCTCAGTGGAAGGGACAACGATGAAACAGGGGATCATCTTCGAAGTAAAGATCTCCAGAAATCATGACTCCGATAGCTCCCCATCAGGTTTTGCCTTCTTTTGTAGCTCAGATGAATCCGAACCACAACCACAGACGACTGACGGATGGCAGTCGTGGCTTTTGTCAGTGTTTATTTATTCCGCATTGGGTTGTGCAATACTCACGCAGGACTGGATGTTTTCTGTTTCGCCTCACTATGGAACGTTTGATGTAGCTCGGATAAATCCGAACCACAACCCTCGGCTCGTGGGAAGTCTCAACGGGAACCGCATCCCTCCGATGTCTCAGTGGAAGGGACAACGACGGCACAAGGGATCGCTTTGAAGTAAACATCTCCAGAAATCATGACTCTGATAGCTCCCCATATGCTTTTGCCTTCTTTTGTAGCTCGGATGAGTCCGAACCACAACCACAGACGACTGACGGACGGCAGTCGTGCCTTTTGTAAGTGTTTATTTATTCCGCATTGGGTTGTGCAATACTCACACAGGACTTATAAATTCCGCGTCACTCCTAAACGTGTGATATAGCTCGGATCAATCCGAACCACATCCCTCACCGCATCGGGAGTCCCGAGGTGAGTATCACGCCCAGTAACGGGAGGTCTCATCGGGAAAGGAAAACGGCGGCACACGCCACGCATCCTGAATGCAACATACAATAACCGATGGTGGGCACTCATGGAATTCGTTGTTTATTTGTCCTTCCGAGAGGCCAAATGTGAACATTTCGCAAGACGTCTGGGTACCGCCTGACTTAAACCGTTTGCTATGGTCCGAATAATTAATCCGAACCTCATAGCTCGACGACGATTGAGTCTGATTTGTCTGTCACTCTTAGCTTTTGTTTGTTTGCACATAGGGCAGTAAGGCAAACCTCACAATGGACGTGCTGCTTCCTACTGGCTCCACCTTCGATTCCAGGGGTGTCTCATCCTTCTGCCACATCCCTCCGAGTGAGGCGAAGTCGCTGGGCGGTGGCTCGGATTAATCCGAGCCACGGATGGTCGCACGACATCCCATTTAATGTCTATCTTTCCGGGGCGGTTGCTCGGATTGATCCGAACCACGGACTGGTAGGCATGGATGAGCTTCTGTCTAGGACTTCTGTTGGTGGGTGGCTCGGATTGATCCGAACCTTGGACCCGGGGCGGTGCAGTAGGCTTGGATCAGCTTCTGTCTTGCACTTCTGTTTACCTCGTGTTCAGAATGACCGTGGTAGGTAGAATGTGTGCTTTCATGGCTCTGCGAAAAGTACTTGTCATGTCGACTATGCGAAAACGTCTTCTGTAGATGAGGCGGTGTGATGTGGTTGTCCGGCGTCGGGGTGTTGTTCCGTTCGACGAGGGTCATCCCACTGTTCTGTCCGTCTCAATGTGCTTTACGGCGTGGGTTTTGATAATCATTTAGAAATCCCGCATCTGCTCTGGAACGGGTCCCTGCGTGACTTTTGAAAAACACTCAATTGGCTTGGTGAACTTCTGATTGGTGACGTTCTGTAAGGGCTTTGCAATGCGACATGGACAGATCTTTTTTTTGACAATTTCGATTGACGGCCTTTTGTAAGGGCTTCGCCGACAAAAAAGTGTAGGGCGTTACAGTTGGGAGTGGGCATCGTCGGGGAAATTATCGTTCACCGATATTTTTTACGACCATCTCCTTTCCCGTTCGTCTATCCATGTGTTCGTGTTGTGTAGGGAGTATAATGTCATTGAGTCCTTCTACAAGCATGGCCATGCTACACGAGAGGCACATGCGCTTAGCGAAACCCTTTCCACCTTATGCAAGATCATTGCAGCATCATGACGGTCAAATGTGGATCGACGATGCACCCGAGGATGACTTCGAGGATGACCCTTGGACGACCGTCGTCCCTTACGTGAACCGGCATCTCGACGAATGGAACGAAAATGACTGGAAGGCGATGGAGCGTTCCTGCCCATGGGCAAGCCATTACAAGTTTGCCAACATGTTGGAGTTCGGGAGCCTCATTGCACTGCCTGCTGGTGTCCTCCATCGAAAGACCCTGGACGATAAGGGTAAACCGGTCCGCTTCCGTACCAGCTTCATACGCCGCGCCCAGTGCGAGTACATCACATCTTCGCCGAGAACTTTGGGAAGTTCGCAGAAGCAAGAGTTGGTGGACTGTGCTCGTCATTGTTCATTCTTGGAACACTACCCTCCTCGTTGCCGAGGGACTTCTCCACAAGCTCTGTCATACTGTTGTGTGCGGTTGACGGATGGCCAGAGTGCTATGTGTGGCTTCTTCAAACAAAAGCGGGAAACTTGTGGATGCAGTTGTGCTTGTGTCACGCAACGAGATGGTGCTTCAGGGATCCAGGTTCAAGGCGGTCATGTCTCGCCCAGATGTAGATGGGCGGTCAGACTTGGTGAGAGCAGGTCAGGTAAGAGTTTTTCTGTCATTGTGGGATGATGTGGAAAAGAAAGTGTCTAAAATATGTGACTGTATAGGGAATTCCTTAGCACGACGAGGAGGGTTTGTCAGGATCAAAATACATGTCTGTGTTTTCGGAGAAGGCAACAGTCGACGAGCCCCAGATCCATGTGTATGGATCATCTATGGATGCTATGTATGGCTTCCGTTCGTGACCTCGTCCGCGGGAAACCCCGTATGTCACAAGATACGGACGTGTGGTCAGACCTTGTGTTCGAGGGAAAATGAGACTCCCTCATGACAACTGAAGTTGACACCGGCGTTGTTGCATTTGAACTAGCACTGCATGCTTGCGAAGGTGACGTTGTATAAGTGTTTCAGATTCATCCGAATCATCAATCAGGTACATGCGGGTGCACCCAACGTTGAACGCGATGCATGAAGGGTTCCCCAAGGACGATCTTTGGCCAAATAACAACCCGTCGGATTCTGTATGTGCGACTCGATAACTGCAGACCATCGAGTTTATGTTCTTGCACGTCTTCGAGGCAAACGAGTGTCTGTGGCCCTCTGTGCAACAGCCGCTACATGGCGGAAAATGACGTGAGCGGCGACGGTCGAGGCTGCAATCATGCATGCCCACCAGAACATCTTGTGTCTCGGATTCATCCGAAGTCGCCGGCTGTACAAGTGTTTTCATTCTCATCCCCACAAAAGCCGTTTGTTTTCGTGGACACCTGCTGAAAGAAACTCCTCTTTGCGTCAATACGCTGCATATGGGCC